TGTAGAGTGTAAATTGAAACCGGGCCGCTTTAACAGTCAGACTTTATACGGGCCGCTGTAACATTCAGACATGTTACAGGCCGCTGTAACATGTCTGTAAACTAAAGTGATTAACTATGTGATTATTTATCTCTGTGTTTTTAAAATATGAATCTTTTTAAAATGAAGTAAAAACAGCAGACAACCTTAAACCACTCTTTTCTTTCACATCTGTTTTGAACCACTTTTCTCACATTAATATTTTACTGAGTCAAAATACCACAGTACACACACAGACTACTGCAGTTTTTAACCCTTACTGTTACCACAGGGCTGAGCAGAACCTCCAAACGGTGGCTCGGGGCCACAAAGGGCCACATGCCGTCCATTCACGGACAGTGGGCTACACTACCAGAAGACGGTCGTCTCCATGGCAACCATGAGCTGAACGGCTCTGAGGCAGAGCTGCTCACCAACAGTCCTGGACGAAGACTGAATGAAAACGACACCTTCAAAGGTGACCTGTTATTTTATTTTCATCTACTAAACTGGACTCCCAACATCAGGACCAACATCTGGACCAACATCTGGACCAACATCTGGACCAACATCTGGACCAACATCTGGACCAACATCAGGACCAACATCTGGACCAACATCTGGACCAACATCAGGACCAACATCTGGACCAACATCTGGACCAACATCAGGACCAACATCTGGACCAACATCTGGACCAACATCAGGACCAACATCTGGACCAACATCTGGACCAACATTTGGACCAACATCTGGACAACAGAACAGAACAGAACAGAACAGGTCTGGACAGAACAGAACAGAACAGCACAGAACAGGACAGAACAGAACAGAACATAACAGAACAGAACAGGACAGAACAGGACAGAACAGAACAGAACATAACAGAACAGAACAGAACAGAACAGCACAGAACAGGACAGAACAGAACAGAACAGCGTGTCTTTACCTGCTCTCCAGGAGAAATGATGATCCTTGGAAAACACGACGTCTGATTGGACGGAACAGGACAAAAGAGACAGGAGGACGAAGAAGCCCAGGTGGTGTCCAGCTCTTGGTGTCCAGGAATCCACCCTCAAGTCATCTTTCAGAACCATGGTCCGGTCCATTCTTTCCTCTCTTAATCCTGCAGAGGAGGGAAGATTCAACCCAACAGTCAGTCGTTCAGGAGAAAAACATTTGGTCAAAAGAACTGAGTTCAACAGTCCCCCCCCCCCCCCCCCAAACTTCAGGCCCACTGTGGCCCGGCGGGTCACACTGTAAAACTCATCAAGGAGCCAAAGGTCTGGTTGAACACCTCTGGGCCGGAGCCTCCTGTTGAACAACAACGTGAGGGTCAACCATCAGCGAGTGTGGACCACACAGCCAATGACAGAGGCCCTGAGGCCGACCCAGAGACACGACCTTCACAGGCTCCTCACACAGATCAAAGAGACGTGATTAGACACGTGACCTGGACAGACGACCGATGACTCTGTAATCCAGTACATGAGTGTGATTCCACGCCGGCTTCCTCTGCCACACAGACCAGTGATGATTCATCAGTGATGACCAGAGACCCTCAGCCTCCCATGGTACACCTGAGCTAACATGGAGTACCAGTTCTTCTTTTTCATTAGCTCACAGCTCCTCCTGCAGCGACCCGTGTCCTCGGAGTGTTTCACCACGCCTCTGACTGTGTTGAACCAAATGCAAAATTAATTCATATGTGATTAAAGCTAACACCTGATGCTAATGTTGACAGATGTCTTTTTTCAATTTGTCTCAATGTTGATTTTTGAATTATTTCCTCAATAACAGCAGGTCCGCCACAAAAAAGATCAAGAAAAATATATATATACAAGAACAAGAACAAGAAGTTCCAGCAAATTTAAGCAAAATAAAGCTGTTTTAAAAACTTAACTTTTTGTCAAATTTTTGTTGTTTTAAAAACTTAACTTTTTGTCAAAGTTTTACTACACATTGTATTTTGATATTAATTATTTGATCACAAAATTCACCACAGCACAAAAAAAAAAAAGTTTGCCATGTTTTGTGTTGATTAATTAAAGTCTTATTTCTGCAGGTGAGATGATTCACACGGCGGTTGTTTTATGGAGGGTTAGAATCGGCCAGTCTGATTGGCTGTCTGTTTAGGTCGGGGTTTGTTTCTCTGTAATAGAGACGTCTTCCGTGTGTCGGAGCGCCGCAGACGCTAACGCACAGTTTGACATTTGAACACAGAACAATTGCGTTAGCCTGTCCTTCGTAGATGTCTGGGCGCCATGAGCTTCACGTCCACGGTTCAAACACTGGCACGGAGGAGCGTTTGAAATCGATCATCCCACAGACGAGAGAAAAACGCCTCCGTTTCATCTCTTTTCACTGGAGAAAATAAAGGACTTTCTTTTTCCAACTGTTTCTTTGTCTCACTTTTCCTGGAAATGAATTGTGCTGGGATGAATGAACAGAGAAGTCTGGCACATGTGCAGCCAGCAGCCAATTAGACGCCTCTGACTGCTGATCGCCCGCCAAGCGCCGAGGCTTTGGACGCCGTACCTGACTGCGCCCAGATTACATCCTCCCTGCAGCCAGTCGCCTCTGAAGAGTCGCACGGCCGGCCGCTGTCTTCATCCACAGAGAGAACACGTCACAGCTGATCGGTTCTGTAGGGGGCGCTCTTCACGGGAGTGTTTTCTCTGTTTTGGAGATGATCGTGTGGATTACTGTCCTCCTTCCAGTGTTTTTAGGAGTCGGTGCCAGCACAGCCCGCACCTGGGCCCCCCCCCCCCCCCTCCCCGCCCCCCCGACTGCCTGCTTGACCAATCGATTCAGCCTGTTTTGAGTGAAACTGAAGTCAAACTAATTTGGTCAAACATCTGCTCCACTTTGACGAATGTGAAGCTAAACGAAATCCACCAGATGGCAGGATGACAGTAAATGGTTTACTCTTCTGGCTCCTCCCACAACTGGGAATTCTGAAGCAGGAAAATTGTCCTACATTCACACTGTTAGCATCGTACAAAC